AAATATATACATACAGACAGGCATATATACAAAAATTTCCAAGAGGATAGAATCCAGGTAGAACTCAATGTCCAGGACAGAGTAAGAATATAATAAAATGGCTTACAATTCCAAGGTAATAAATTATAACCATGGAATATTAGTGTTTAAGCTAAAGTGCCCAATCTACTTTACTATTAAACTATAATTGTCAGAATAGATGGAATCATGCCTTTCTTATTGCAAAACTGAACACAGGCTGGAATTTTAATTTCATTCACTGATTCCACTTTTTATGCTGATGACCATTATACTACCTGCACATTCCAAAAAATGAGATACAATTTCAATATCAGTTTTTCTTAGATATTTTTGCCAGATTATATATGCACATTATATACCAGGATATGTAATATGACTCACACACAAAAAACGGTAATATTCTAAAGAAATACAATATTGGTACAATATTTCACAGGAGAGATCAATGTGTTGCCCGCATACAATTCTTTGGAATTTAAGATTTATTTTGTGGAATATATTCGCTGAGCTCCTTTGCCAATCACAAATAATTTAAAAACAATTTTTTTTCTTTTTCTTTAAATCATTTCAACCCAAGCAAGGCAATAAAGCCACTAAGGCAAAAAGGGTTACTGAGTGTGAAAGAATATGTGGAAAAAGAAAAAAAAAAAACGTTATTAAAGAGAGAAACCATTAAAAGAACAGGAATTAAGAAGAAAAAAGATAACAATTAACATTGCATTTAAATTTTTGAAGATCAAAGTTGATTGAAAGTAAGAAGCTGGAATTGAGTTCCACAGGTGAGAAGTGCGAGAGAAAAAACCGTTAGCATAGAACTTATGGTTACATTTCAACTTTAAAATGATGAGACCTAGCTCCCAAACTAGTACTGCCTTTAAATTCGTAAAGTTCAGTTTCCAAAGGGGAAAGCTCATCAGAACAATTACCAGGAAAATATTTATAGAAAAGGCACAGGGAAGCTACGTTATGGTATTGGGAAAGTGACTCAAGCCAAGATGCCATATCAGGACCGATAACATTGCAGATTATTCTTTAACAAAGCTGATATAAAAACAAATTTTAAACTTTAATTACTGTATTTTCTGGCTTACAAGATGCTGCAGCTTGGAAGACGATCCCTAATATTGTAAAGAAATTTCTAAGAAAAAAAAAATAAAAAGTCATTCTCATACAACACATTCCCCATGCATCCATCACATACTGGTGCCACATAGTTTACATTAATCATTCGTTCGATTTTGTTTGTATAGCAATGACATACTAGTCAAGACCAGAAAGACTGCCACCACTGCTAGTAAAGAGAGCACGGTTATGCTTGTGGCTTGGCTCCAGGAAGGTTTATAGTCTTGGAAATACTTGTAACAGCTAAGTACTGAGGTTACATCATATAAAATTAGATAGCTAACATTATAGTTACAAATTCATGACCCTGTCAGTAAAACCAATTGTGACCATCCAGGCTTACTTGAGCCTGGGTGTTGCCTTATATTTGTCTTGGAAGACCCATGTATTTTTCAGGGTATTTTTTTAGGAAAAAATGTGTCTTGTAAGCCAGAAAACATGGTATTTACTCACTAGAATAAAATACAAGTTTAATGTCCATAGTGAGTAAAGAAATATTTGATTCCTAATTTTAATGCTTAATTTCTGGAAGGCATTATTTTTATGTTTTGAATGAAATAATGATGGGAAGATGGGGGAGTAAAGAAATTTCAGGTCAACAAGGCTTACAGAAGAATGTTTATGTCCTGCGGCTCTCAAACACTGTATGTGTGGTACTTACATGAAGAACGTTTGGCAAGTTTAGATAGTTTAGATGATCAAATCTTACTTTTTATTTTTTAAGCCATGACTCAATATGGCAATCATCCCTGGCATTCTCAAACAGTTACTCATTTAAGTATGGAATAGGTTTAAAATTGCTTGACTTTGGTATGACTTAACTGTAAATCCATGCTTGTAATTAATAGTAAAGTGGTGGTGGTCTTTACAAAGATAAAAGGATACAACAGGTCAGTTAATTTGAAATATGTAAGCGTTCTGAAAGCAAAGGAATTATTTGTCGCAGATTACTTCCACAACACAAAGAAAAAAAATCACTGTAAGTACAGACTCGAATATCGGGGGCAGAAAGAAATGCTAAAAACTCGATTCGCCAGTACTATCTCACAAATCACAATGCGTGTAACCAGTCAGAAAAATAACTCACTCTCTAACGCGGTAGTCAAAATACCCAAATTTCTTCTTCTCCGATTCGAGAACACCAACTGCTTTCATCGTCCAAACATTTTCAGCTGAGAAAGGATGTTCAGTAATTTGCATATCAAAATACTTTTATAGTGACAGACTAGTTTTTTAATTCAAATCTTCAGCATATCATGCGGAATACGTGCCCCTTTTGTTTGGTAAGTAATTTTTTTTTTCACATTTTCTGTTGTAGAATACACGCGATGCGCTGTTGCTTGGTTTGACAAGTTGCCATTTTCTTCGCTATACAATATAAGCATCAAAAACCCCCAGTATTGAGAGTGTACCATTTTGGTGTGAAATTGCCTGGCTATTTTAAAAATGACATTAAAACATTGCACTTGATTACTGTTTAGAAGGTATGGACAATGTAAGTTTGACTTTAGGCCTGTTTTCTTCTCTTCAGTATTGTCATTTTTTTTTTGTTTGAGACTTTATTTGGATAAGAGGTTTAGGTTCTGCCAAGTTGTTGATTGGTTCCAATAATGGTTTTTTGTTTTTCTTTCATATTAATATATATGTGTGTGTGTGTGTGCGTGTCATTTAAATATGATGGACAAGAAAAATTTTATCATTTTTTTTTCTATTCAATTTTTCTAATGTCCTTACAGTTTTTTCTTTTATGAAGACTAAGCAATGTGTAGAAACTTTCCATAGTGATTATTGTCCCAAGAACTTTCAGAGAATCCATTAGCTATTGCCAAAGAATTCATTGTTAGTATATTTTTGTGTTTGTACTGTGTTGCATAGAAGTAATTTTATCTTGGGGTGCCTTCAAAGCACTAATATGTTACAACTAGTTTCAAAGCAAGTAATTTTGAGTGTAGGTTCATACTGTTTTATAAAAAGTGCTTCCATTATCTTTAAACCACTTTTACAATTAGATGTTTTTAAAATGACTATCACCTATATGTTTTTCCTTATGGGAGTGGGGAATTGGAACTGTGTGTTTAAGATCTTCCTTATCAAATTAAGATCACTCAAGTGGGTAGATATTTTAATATTATGAGTGCTTTCATGTCATCCTGACATGGAATTACAACTTCTACATCACAGGATACAAACGCAAAAATGCCTTAACATTGAAGCCCTTGATAAATGGCTAATAAATTAGCAGAAATGGTTGGGGACAATGATCACTATGGACATTTTTGTACATATTTAGTCCTCAGAAAGACACTAGAAAAAATAAAAAGCTCATATAATTTTCCTTGTCCATCACATTCAATGAAACGTGTGTGTGTGTATATATATATATATATATATATATATATATATAAGTAAATGTGTTGGTATATAATCCAAGTGGACCCTAGTAATATAAAATATTAAAACTGATCCACATGAGCTCAATGTATTTATTATTACAGAGCAGAAATTAATACACAATAAAATCCCAAATCAGCTCATATTGGGAATAAGCTTATTTCAACCAACGAAAAAATAATTTTATAAAAACTTCCTTTTATGACTAATACCTTTCACTGACCAAAACATTGAAATGGATAAATTCTGTATTAGTTTTTTGATATTTTTTTTGTAGCTTTCACAGTTAAATTTATAATTCAGACACGGACTCAATCCATACCAGGTTGAATAAGACTGACAAATTTTATTTTTTTTGTTGGTTGAAATAAGCTTATTCCTCATGAGGTGATTTGGGATTTTATTATATATATATATATATATATATATATATATATATATATATATATATATATATATATATATATATATATACACACACACACACAAGTCTGAAATCTTATTTCACAATTTCATAGAAATTAATAAAATACTAAAATATGAAAAATAAATTGGCTGAATTTATTAAAAGATATATCCAGTTAAAATATGTTACATAAAAAAAAAATGCGAAAAATTTAAACTTTTTATTTTAATTATCAAAGCACTATTTCTCAATATTCAGCACTTTATTTACAGAAACTGCTTGCCTTAAAAGCATTATCCTCCAACAGTTTTTTGTTGGAAACAATCTTTCTTACTATATATATATATATAAAATTTGTCACTATGTTGATTGATATTATATTCAGCACGTCTACTCCAAAGTTTCATAGATGAACCTTTGTATAATTGTTCAATCCACTCATCAGAAATGTTCAGCAGAAATATCTCCCATGTAATGCTAAGACATTATTGGCAATGGTGGATTCATTATGCGGGAGCTATTTCTGCTGCACCGTGTATGTGTGTGTTATATATATATATATACATACACACACACACACACACACGTTTGTGGTGAGTCAGGAAAATTTTTTTTATAGTTTTATCTATTGGTAGGGGGAGGTGAATTTTTGACAGTACTAGATTTTTTTTTTTTAAATTCAATCATTTGTGTATGGGTATTTGACATCTAAACTAACAAGTTTCTCAATCATACTTTTTCCTCTTAATCTATGGTACATCCCTACACAAATATCACAAGGAAAAAAAAAAAAATCAAGTACACTCAAAAATTAACCTCTTCCTATCAATGGATAAAATTATAAAAATTCATTTTATAAATTATAAAAATTGTCATTCAACTTGTTTTTAAAAACACAAACACATTCTTAATTCAGCATCATTTCTTGTTACTATAAACAGTATTACGTGGGTACATGTATTTGAGTTGACACCTGTTATTTCTATAAGCAGTGAACTTAATGTCAACTGGCTTAGAGACATCTATTAAAGGAAGATATTCTTCCCAAAAGGAGTCGATTTCATTGTATAAGAAAAAAAGAAGAAAGAAAGAAAAAAAAAAAAAAAAAAAAAAAAAGAAAAAAAAGAAAAAAGAAAAAAAAAAAAAGAAAAAGAAAGAAAGAAAAAGAAAGAAAGAAAAAAGAAAGAAAAGAAAGAAAAAAAGAAAAAAGAAAAAGAAAGAAAAGAAAAGAAAGAAAAAAAAAAGAAAAAAGAAAGAAAGAAAGAAAGAAAGAAAGAAAAAGAAAGAAAGAAAAAAAAGAAAGAAAGAAAAAAAGAAAGAAAAGAAAAAAGAAAGAAAAAAAAAGAAAGAAAAAGAAAGAAAAAAAAAGAAAAAAAAGAAAAAAAAAAAAAAAAAAAAAAAAAAAAAAAAAAAAGAAAAAAAAAAAAAAAAAGAAAAAAAAAAAAAAGAAAAAAGAAAAAAAGAAAGAAGAAAGAAGAAAGAAAGAAAGAAGAAAGAAGAAAAAGAAAGAAGAAAAAGAAAGAAAGAAGAAAAAGAAAGAAAGAAGAAAGAAAGAAGAAAGAAAGAAGAAAGAAAGAAGAAAGAAAAAGAAAAAAGAAAGAAAAAAGAAAAGAAAGAAAAAAAAAGAAAAGAAAAAGCAAGGATAGCAACTCAAAATATTATTTACTGTAATAATAAATAAGTGTGTATGTATGTGTGTGTGTGTGTATATAAAAAAGGATGTTCAAAAAATAATGTCTGATTTTAGAATAAACCCTTTGTGTTCAAATATATTATTATAATAGTTGCAGAGAAATGTATTACTCATTCCTAATGATTAAAGTGTCCTCTTTGTTGATTTTATATAAAATCTCTTGCAGTATTTAACTTAAAACATTATATTTACGCCTCATCTTGAACATCATTGATGTCATTCATGACAGCTTCCTGGAATCTAACCAGAACAGCACTGTCACAGTCTATAGCTAGCAGCTGGGTGAAATGCACATTTAGTTAAGCAAAATGCAAATCGGTACTGGTTAATCGACAATATTTGGCCACTTATTGCCAGGATGACACTACAGAAGCTCACCGAGTTGGAATACGAGACTTTGCCACATCCACCATATTCCTCTGCCCTCTTGCCCACAGCTCTTTGTCACATCCACAATATTCCTGTGCACTGTTGCCCACAGTTCCAAGCATTTCGACAAAATTTTAAGCCAAAATAAATTCCATTGCAAAGAAAATGCAAAAACTACACTCAAAAGATTTCTTGGTGCCCAAACCGTTAAACGAGTTTTATCATAAAGGCATAAATAAGCTTGTAGCTAATTTCAGAAAGGATTTTTCAACCAACATTATTTCCTATTACTATAAATGTTGTTTTAATGGGTACACATGTTTGAGTTGGTTTTTTATTTTTATTTTCTTAAACAGTGAAATTCATGACAACCAGGGTGGACTGAGAAGAAAAACTGTGCTCAGACAGGAATCAAACCTGTGTCACTTTATTTAGCCAAAGCATGCCATGGAGACCAGCCTGCCAGAGCAAGATTTGAATCACCTATTTAAGAAAAGCATATTACTTATTGGGACAACATGTATATGTGTGTGTGTGTATGTATATATGTATGCATATATATACATATATATATAAATTATATACACACACTCATCTGAATACTTTCAAATGTTTCTGCATCTGTTTTCAAGGATTATTGCGTGTGTAATTGCGCAACTTCTATTTAATTCCTGCATTCTTGCGTCTGACAGAATCAATTTCAAGGCACTCAAGGTGACAACATATTTTATGCCTGTGTATGTTCTTCAATATGCGATCCCTTGTGGTGAAAGACACTATCAAGAAAAAAAAAAGAAAAAAAAGAATATATATATATATATATAGAACCATTTTGCTTTTTTTATAATCATATAAAAACAAAAAAAATAAATAAGAGAGGCCAAAAGTACATCATTCCTAAATGTAGGTTGAAAAAAAAAAAAAAAAAAAAAAAAAGAAAGAAAGAAAGTAAAGGGGATTGGTAGACAAGCCACACCTGTGAACCAATCAAAAACCAAGAGAGAATTCCAAAATAAATTCCATTATCTTGCTGGGGTGGGGTGTATCAACCCAAAGACGATCAAACAAAAAGGAACCAGAGAGTCAATGAATTTCGTCTTTCCCCCAGGCTTGTGGGTCTTACACACAAGGAACAAATCTTCATAAACAGCATCTGCCATCACATTGCCATATTCCTTCTATACGTTATTTTACGTGGACCCTTAAATCAACTGCAAGTCAAGATTACTACTACCAACTGAATAGATACATATATACATTACAAGAACTCTCTCTCTCTTTCACATACATATGCTAATAGTCTTAGATGTTCAACAGGCAAACATTCCATATGAACTCTTTCAATTTTGTATGTCTTAAGATATACAGAATTTTTGTCTTTACATGCTAAATATGTATATATTTTTTTATCTAATTATCTTTTCATTCATTTTTACAAGGCCAAAAATTGCTGTATATTGGGATTAGGGATTATCCAAAGATAACATGTTAATCCACAGAATGGCAAAAGCCACATTAAATCTAATATCTTATGACCCGTATAAATGGAAATCAATAATCTTCAATGCCACAACACCCTTATGCAATATCGGCTGCTTCTCTTTTATAATTAATAATAGGAGAAGGAAAAAAAATCTCATAAGCAAACACAAACGTTCACATAATGTCACCTTGAGTGACTTGAAATTGATTCCATCAAACATAAGAAAGTCATAATTAAAAAAACAGTTGCATGACTACACAACACTCTCTCCTATATATATATATATATATATATATATATATATATATATATATAGGTAGTAATCTGTTGGTATAATCCAAGTGAGCCCTATTAACACAATATAGAATTTGAAATATTAAATGTTAAAACTGACTCACAAAGATCACTCAATGTATATTTTCATTAAACTGAGCAAAATTTTTTCTTACAATTGTAATTAAGGTGCCATTAGTTAATGACCTGCGAATTTTAAATTTGAAATGGTCATTAACGAATGGTATCTTAATTCCAATTGTAAGATATATGTGTGTGTGTGTGTGTGTGTGTGTGTGTCAGTGAGGTTGTTATTCCAGAACAATCATCAAAACAAAAATCTCACTTTTCAAAAAACCACAGAAATTTTCGCAAACCGATATTGCTGTGATTGCGTTGAGCGGACCAAGACAGTTAAGTTGTTCTCTGCTGATAAAAGCTGTAAACCTGCCAAACAACAGAATCCAATTCCAAAGCCGCAAGCAGTTCCGTATGTATATTTACCCATATTTACAAAGCCAATAATCTTACGGGATGGGGAACTGAGAGGGAGTAAGTGGTTCTGTCCTTCCTTGAGTTTCAATCTACATAATTCAGTCTGCTTCACAACTGCTCCCTTTTCAGATGTCACCGGAGGATAATTTTTCAGTAACGGTTCCAATGGGTCTTTATGAATTCCTAATCTCTGCTTTTTTAAGTCTTCCTTGTTTGGGACACAAATCATAGAAAAAGGTTCTGGACAACCTTTGGAAACCATTTTAACTGTCACTGGCACAAGGGAAGTTTTAAATACATCGAGATTATCTGAAAATAAGTTTCTGAAAGAATAAGGAATCTGTTTCTCTCTCGGGGGTTTATGTCGGTATGTCAAAAATTTGATGAGAGACATCAATTTTTTACGATCCCTCAAAATGTTAAAGGTCCGAAGATCCTGATCTGAGTTTAAAACTGTCAAGAGTTGAAGATAGTCAGCGAAATATGGACAAGGCACATTTAATTTTAGAAAATTTGGTCTCTTTGCAGGAGGCCTCCTTAAGTACTTTTGGACATGTTCATCACGAATAGAAAGCATTTCTTTGGAACCGGCTTCTGTATCTGGGAAGTCCTCAGGGAAACTAAGGCATCCAGAGTCTTGCAAGACATGCTGGGCTTCGACAAGGCCCCCAACACGAGCACCTTGATACACAAAAGCTACCCAGAAGGCCATTCCCCAACCGGTTGGAAGGATGACATCAACACCACTGCCAAATCCTATGTGTTCTTCACATTTTGATGAGATGGGCATTCGGCAACCAGGTTTTTGAATCAGAATGATTGGGATTCTTGAAGCTGCTCTTCCAAGGTTTATGGGATATCCTGAAGAGAAGAAAAGAATATGAACAGAATTTTCAAAGGGTATAAAAACACCTATATGGGTCAGGCAATAACGTTCAGTATGATTAGCTTAAAATATAAAAAATATCTATTCTTGAATGACAAATGTAACTTGATTGCAAATGATTAGGCTATGACTAATCTCAGGTTTCCTCTTCATAGTGTTGTTAACATAGAAGGAGGACAAAACATGAAACTATTCACATGACTTAACATGAAAATGGCTGTAAAGCAACCAATTATCCACTGTCAGAATTGAAACAGTTCCATTTTCATGTGCACTTAAGTGTTCAGACCACAATGACATGCCCATATATTTGTCTACATCCTAAGCCTAAGACAGGAAGCTCCTGGGCCCATACAGCCAACTTGTGTCGAATTATAGAATCAGCATTTTGTAAATTAATTGAAACAAAACAAATAATTCTGTTATTGTCTATAGATTCTACACTGGATTTAAATCAGGAGAGTTTCTCTGCCAGTCTAGTACTTTGATTTGCTCACTGGTAAGGCACCAGTGTGTTCGTGTAGTGTAACAAATTTTGTATGCTTCCTTGGAGTAATGTCCATCACAGACAATGGCCATAGGACAACTAATCAACAGTCAAGACAATAGTGTCCAGACATGATAAAAATCTAATGCAATCATGGATGATGCAATATTTTTCAAGACCAAACAAATTTCATCATACACCCCAAAAATAGATTCATATTGCATACCACTTCAAATGACCTAATCTGAGGAAAAAAAAAAAAAAAAAAAAAAATCAATTATAACCTGCCATTCCAGGGGGTCTAAAACTAAAGTGGTTGTTTAAATTAATTTGCATAAGTGTATATATACAGGTAAACCACCAATTCCACATCACCTTGGTTTCAGAACCAATTGGGATTAGTTTTGTCAGACCAATAGGCGTCCCCAGGCCACTACAGCATCACCAAATGCTTAAACAATTAAGTGCTACACCCAATGCCACTTTTGGTTGTCCACGTGTTTAGTTTAGCAATTGTGTGAAATTCAAATGTTTTCTCAATTTCGTCTGAAGTAAATCAGTTACTGGAAAGTTGGTGGTGGTGTTGTGTGTATATATATTATATTGCACATATAGTGCAGGTATTAATAAAACAGTGCTCAATGCAATACAACAGAACTATTAAACATATATCAATAAATATACGTATTAACCTCCACTGAGAGGTGGATCCACTCGTATCTTCAGGTGTTAAGTATGGATTGACGGCTATATAATTTGAATTTTAAAGAATATATCTGGTTATTGCAATGTTAAAGCAGTTATATATTATAAGGGGTTTACAGTTTTTTTAATTTAAAAAATTATATCTGGCATTTAAAATAAAGAGGGTTTGTACATTATATGTGTGTGTGTGTGTGTGTGTGTGTGTGTGTGTGTGTGTGTGTGTGTGTGTGTGTGTGTAAAATTTTTTATTTTTGAGTTGTGAATATTAATTTAATTTTGTATTCAAGGGAGATTACTTGTTTATATACACACACATACACATGTTTAGAGTTGAATTAGACCAGGAAACAGTAGTATTAAAAAGTGCTGAATGCACATAAAATAGAAAATTTATGAACACTGGTAGATCAGATTTCCAGATTACATCCATTTTATTCAAGACATCCCAAGCTTTAGCTATGCGAATATTCACATTCTTCTCAGCAGAACTTATTGCACTTCCTCCTTAGGTATGCAAAAAGATTCAACAGATTTTATTGAACCTTGAAAGACAAACAGGAAAAAATACTTTAAGAGGAGCTAAAAGTTTAAAAAATTAAATAAATCAAGGAATTATATATTCAGGTAGAATGAGTAGTTTAAATCTGAACTTTTTCAAGTTTTGGGTCAATTGTTATCTATCCTAAATATCCTCATAATATGCTCTCCTCACTTGCTTAATTCCTCATTTTGTATACTTAAAACCTCATATAAAACCCTCTATCTTGAGTGGCTCTTGTGTCTTGTATTGGGTGAACAATAGTGAAAAAAAAAAAAAAAAAAAAAAAAAATTTTTTTTTAACCTGGTATCAAGTTTTCAAAACGAATTTTGTTGAACTCTTGCTCTGATATCTTTGTTCTTTTTACTTCTTTACGAATATCTTCTTCCCACAATGGTGACAATGGATGATCAGTTATATCCAAGCAGTTTCCTCTGGCATCTAAAAAGAGTAGAAAGAAAACCTTCATTAACCAATAAAGTGCCAACCATATCAAAGTCAGCATGAAAGTTTTATTGAGCTTTTCAGTTCTAACGGAAATGCTTTTAAAGAATTGTAAAAATACAAAAAAGTGGAGACGAGAAACATCTCATTTTCTTCGACAGTTTCATTAGTAATTTGTTACAAATTATATGCAGAGTGTGACAAAAATAACAGTCTTTTTTATTTGTTAACTTTTATTGAATAAAAATAAATTAGAGTAGTTTAAGAAAATTTATAAGCATTGCCACATGAAAACAACATGATTTGTTATGATGAACAACTGTTCGAAATTCTCCCCCTTCATGTTGAATACATAGCTGAACCCTACCAGCAACCAGAAATTGCTTTTAATTCAGAAATTGTTTTTGGTTTGGGCCTGTAATCAAGATCTTTCAGTACACTCCACAAAAAGTCTGGTGGTTAACATGAAGTCCAGTGAACATGAAGGCCACCTGATTGCTCAATGTCATCTTATACACCTCAGCTTGAAATTAAGATTTAATCATTTCGAAACGGGTAGTTAATCTTAAATGGCTAATTTATTTTTGTTCAATAGAAATAAATAATAAGAAAAGGTGTTACTTCTGTCGCACCATGTAAATAAAAATAATTATTCCATGAAAATAAAATACTATCAATCCTTTAACAATCTAAGATGGTGACTAAAAGTATACTCTGCAATTTTAGGTAATAAAAGAAAACTGATTTTGTGCTTGTTCAAATACTAAAGCCTGGGGTTCCCAGCTGGCATGGTTTCGTTTCACTTTTTCACATTTTTCTCTTTGATAGTAATCTTTATCAGAAATTAAATTGACTTAAATATTCTGACCTTTTATTGAACTTTTTGAAGTGTGTTTCAGTTTATTTAAGATTGAGTTACGAATTAAAAAAAATTATTGTACATGAATCCAAGTTAAAAGCTCCATTAACATCTATTTCTATTAAATTTGTAAAACTCCTCAAATAAAAAATAAAAATAAACCATATAAATGTACTAATCTGGAAAGAATGAGGATTTTCAATAATATATGCATACTATTTAGAATTCACCTTTGAAGTTGGACAATGACATTTTGGCATATTGTGACAATGGTGCATTGGGCAAAAAACGTTGACAACCACTGACTTAAGAGTAGTGGAAAAAAAAAAAGAAAAAAAAAGACCAAATCAATTTCATTTTAAAATTGGAAAAAAAAAAAGAGAGAAAACTGATAACAAAATAGCAAAAACATAAAAATAATCATAACCAGACAATGACTTGAGGTATTGAGAGAGTTAAAAAATTAAAAGTGGAGGAATAAGAATACTAATTGAAAAAAAATATGTAGACCATCAGTTGACTAGTTGCAACCCGATGAAGGAAGGTTTGGTTTAAAAATAAGCAGAACTTTTAAAATGTTTATGAACACATTGGTTGGATTTGAACCCAAAATAAATCTAGTAAAATTCAGTAAATTCAGTACAACTGAATTTCCCCTACCTGAATTCTCACCTCCAAGGAAGTTGCAGTGACAAGATTAAGTTTTTTCCCTCCAAAATTCTGCAAAACCTAGACGAACCTCATTAATGTTTATTTAGCAAACTATTTCCACAATTTATATTTAATCTTATCAAAATGTCTGAATCCAGAATCTAACTAGAAATAATTTAAAATATAGTAATGTACATTTCTGTATAGGAAATCCTTTGTTTGAAGATACTATCCATCAATGTCATGCCCTCATCCAAATATAAGTAGAAACCTGTGATTACTTAGTGAGTTTGCACAATCACTAGGGCAATTTTTGCCCAGGAATTGTTTGCTGTGTCCAGAAGGAACTTGCTCTGTCTCTCTATTCTTTTCTCCAAGTTGAAAAAAAACTTGGAAGACACAGGCACTAACGGCTAACCATAAAATCTTAACCCTTAAAATCTTAGTAGAAAATCAACCAAGAGTGATTGTAACCTTCTGAAAGACTATAGTATTAAATTGTTGGCAGTTTTTTTCATCGGCATTTATTCTTTTGACCTATAATGTTTTTGTCTTTTGAAAAAGTTTCCAATCAAGAAAACCACAACCCAAGAGAATGAGCAGAAAAATTCTTCAATGGTCCCATCAAGATAAGCACACAATGTTAAACCACTAGATGATCACATTTGGAGACCAGTGACAGGTGAAAATACTGAATGGACAAAAAAACATCCATGCCTGTAACACATTTCAACTTACTTGGTTTTCAGTGCCAGAGGTGATATAATATACGATTGTTGAAGAGGACCAACATCTCGCCAACACTGTATGAGATTTTTTTTAATTTTATGAAAATAAATAACCTTCATTTTATTTTTGAAAGCTGATACTAAATTGTGGCAAAGCTGTATTTTTATTTATTTATTTTTTTTTTTTAAGAAGTACTAAATTTAAGGGTTAGAATTTTAACAAATCAATTTCAAATACAGTTTTCCTGAAATTTCACCTTAATGAACACAAGAACATGTCTAAACACAAAGAATTATCTAAAGAAGAAAGAAGCCTATCATGCTGCGTGGACCTACAGAAAAATTACAAAGGATGTTAACCGTTTCTTGTGTTGCGTAAAATATAGCCTAGATTTATTCAAATCAAGAGGCAAATTTGAAAATAGATCAAGAACAAGATGACCTCCTAACCTAAATCCATCTGATAAAAAGTCTCTTTTACAACTGAACCAATTAGAACAGGAGAAAATGGGTGCATGAGTGTGCTGAAAAAATTAAATCTATAAACAGACCATAATAAAAAATTTCCAGGCCAACAGTTTCTAAAATAATAAAACAAATTATCTGGAAGAGTGGCAAAGAGAGAGAGGACACAAAACCAAATGACTCAAATTTACCAGAAAACTAGACCACCCATAAACAAGATGGATTCCTTTTAAAAGCAGTTCATGATACAAATGATGAGTTAACAATATTATCAATTTTATTATTAATTGATTACACATATTTTAATTTGTATTTGTAATACAAATTATTGTGATAATTATTATTACTCAAATTATGCAATAGTACCGAGTAATTAAATGCAATAAGAAAATTAATAAATGGAAAAGTTTTCAGAATTTGTGAAAAAAAAAAAATTCACTGCTGAACATTATTCATTGACAAATGTTAAATTATCAAACAGCCCTTTCAGAACACACAATACGAGAACGACATCAAAGGCCTATCATTATGCCAAGACAATGACCGAGCTTTAATTTGAAACATCCCTTTAATGCAACCATTGCCCTACAGGAAAAAAGTTTACATTTGTTTAAGAATGGAATTGTAAACCGATACCACACTAAAGTCCTTTCCATTCAAGTAATAGTAGCCCTGGGTTAACAATTTATACCAATTTTAGTATTTACTATATCATAATTTTCAAAGTTGAAGGTCATTAAAATTTAAATATCTGCTTAGGGAGATTCATATTTATTGAAATAGCAAAATATGGCTTCCTCCTTTTTGTGCACTTAGTTTCATTTTTTTCTAGGTAATGTTTTTTTCAAAATGATGTAATGAATATACATACACCTGGGTTCCCCCTCATAGTAATATGATTGGCTGGTGTCAGCCATAAATACAGTCTGATGTGGAGGTACATGGGCTATGCCTATTGTCTACCACTACGACGAGGACCAGTCCATTACAGTTACCTGCTAGATTGTCCTACTCGGTTACAGTAGTCAACAACCATTTTGCTACTTCGAACAAATATATCCCTTTCCGGGACATCTCACAAAATAATAATTTTTATTATACTGGGTGTAATAGCAAAATTGTCCAATTGTTAGATTAAGCTTCGAACTGTTGTATCTTAGAAATGATTAAAGATAGCTTACTGGAATTCTGAGGTTTTTATAAAACTATTGGACTACTTTGAACAATTAGAATGTATTTAGTTTTCAGCTGAAATGATGATCTTTCTTCTTGTTGTGATCATGATCCAGTTTTCCTCTTTATTGCTCCTTCTTTTTTAAACTTATTCACTGTTCTTTTGATGGTTCGTGAATGGACTTTGAAGATGGAAGCCAGAGTATGAATGTTGGTACCATTACTGAAGGCCTGAATGATCTTTTTCCTCTCACCATTGTTCAGTTGGGGAGACATAGTGGGACTGACAAAAAATGATTTTAACCTGTTCTCTTTCTAGCTGAATAACTCAAAGGGTTTTTCAGTGATTCTAAGACAAATGGTGTCAAGATGGCTAAACGTCTTGGGGAAAAAAGAAACTCAATTAGTTTAGTGGATTTTTTTTTTTTTTTTAAATATTTTATGGGTTTTTTTTTAATATTTTATGGATTTTTCTTCACTGTACGGGAAATGTATCACTCATTAGCCTCATTTAAGATACAGGGATGACCACTCCTTTGAATGTTTTCAATAGTATCAAATTTTTTCCATTTTTGAACAACAGCCCCAACAAGCAAATTCAAATCTTGAGCGATTTTTCTATATCCCTTAACATTTTTGTGATTCTTTATGAACTTCTTGCGCATGTCGTTTGACAATTCTTTTGTTTTCACCATTTTCTTGCAGTAGTGGCAACAGAATAGCTGCAGTGTCTCAAAGCTGTTATCTAATAGCCAGTTGAGTGTCGTGCAGTGCTGTTGACATATCACATCATATCAATATGGGTAGGAATCATGATGACACGTCTCTTCTAGCATAATATTTGCATTGGTGTTAAATACTTTTGCATATGGGCTATTTTATTTATTGTTAATGTTTCTCAAAACAGTGGTTTTAAGTTTTGATCGACAATGTTCGTTTAAATATTTCCTATAATTTTCGTTTAAACTGATCTGTTATTTTTTGAGAAATGTAAGAAAAACCAATGTGTTAAATACTTTTGCTACCCACTGTGTGTGTGTGTGTATATATATATATATATATACACACACACACACTTTTCACATACATATAAGATTAGAGGTTTAGTATTATGTAAGGTAGGAGGCATGGTGGAGTAATGGATAGAGGCTTGGATTGAAGAATTGGAGAGCAGAGTTCAAATTCCAGTTGAATCCATTACATTCACTTACATGCTAATACCCTTGGGAAAGGTATGAATCCTCCTCTTCTCCTCCCACCTATGGGTAAATAGAAGGACAGACTGGGTTCTATAGCCTTGGATGGCAACTGGTTTACTGCAGAAAGAAATGGGAAACTACTGCAGGAAAAAATCTGCCAAGTCAGTCATGAATTAAAAGATACATGATTGCCTAAGCATTTATCATGCATGGCACATAACTGATTATATAAAGGTATGACCAAAAGTTACTGGGACTGATTGTATAAAAAGAAAACTACGACATATATCAATTTGGCATTTAATCTACTTTGAAGTAGTCCCCCTTCTAAAGCCACACACATGTTATCCAGTGTCATTTTTACTGACTGAAGCATTCCTGAAACTCCTTTTTCGGGAGAGCAAGCAGTTGCCTTGCCACATTCTCTTGGATTTCCTTGACATCTTGTTCCTTTCAAGTGGGATTTGAAGAGGAAAAAGTTGCAAGGGACAAGATCTGGGGAATATGGTGATAGTCAGACTTTGGGAATGTTGTGCTTGCACACGTTCCTTTCAAGCACTGCTATAAATGACGGGAATGAGCAAGAATGTCAATCTGTGCCACTCTGCATACTTTAGCTCTATGCAGGAGGAGAGAATGAAATAGAGAAAATAGAGATGAAGAAATTGTATATACAAAAATGAATTGTCTGTTAAAGATAAGGAGGAGAAAAAGAAAGATATGCATATTGAGAGAGAGAGAAAGAGAGTACTCAGTAATCTTAGAAATGTTGGAAAATATTCTCTAATCTAATTTTAGGAATGTTGACTTTAAATTTACTATAGTCATTCTTCTTATTTTCTGATAATGTCATGTATGGTCGCCCATACTGGACACATTTATAGAGAGAAAAAAAAAATTCTTTTAAAAATCTTGGTGCTTGAAGACAAGTATTAAGCTTTTGAATTTTTGATTATTAAATAATTTTTTGTCTATATCTCACATGCCTCAGTGGATAAAGGTGTTGGTTCAATACCTGGCTACAGCATGAACCAAAACTTGGTGAGTTGAGTTAAATTGTAACAACTGAGACATCCAGAAGAGGCATGGCATGTGGAACTATTACAATCTATGCTGGTGAATGAAAGAAGAAGGCCAGAGTGTACAACAGTCAAAATGTTGAAGATGAGGATAACAAACCAAATAATGAAAATAATGTAAGCAAATAATTTTCACTTAACAACGATGTCACCTAACATGTTTTTTAACCAAAATTTTTAATGTGCTAAAGAGGATTAAAAAATTTAATAAAATAATCAAAAATACTTTTGTCTTTCCTCTTAATAATAAAAAACATTTTGATGATAAAACTGTTTTTATCAAGTTTGGGGCCTTTTTTCATCATGGTATGTTCTTTTTTTTTTAGCAAAAAAGTGGGTTACTTAATATATATATGCATAAAAACTTTACTTACCTACAGGACTTGGCTTGGCATAAGTTTTCTTCTTTGGCAGCCTTTTCCGAGGATCAGTCACAGTCATGCCCAATACACAATGAGAAGGCAACTCAGCAGGATTCTTAACCAAAGCCAAATTCTTCCACAGAATTTGTGAATCGACATGTTTGGATTGGCATTCTTCAGAATGATAAAATTGTGCCCACCAAGGAACATCCTCAGACTTCCGAGATTCTTCAGATCCAGCTTTTGGATTAGTTTTTGATTTTTCCCACCTAACAGATGCCACTTCCACAGCATTGGTCAAAACTTTGATAGACAACGGACCAATCAGACGAAAACGGACCAAGTCATCCTTAAGCGATTTTACTGAAACTCTGCTTTCAAGAGATTGGTTTCCTGCACCATTTGGAATGCTAGAAAGCTTCTTTGTTTGGAAGCTTGAGGAATGGTCTGTGTTGATAATATTAGATTCTTCTTTAGAAAAAGTTTTTTCAGCAGTGGCACTACCCGTAGCTTGGCCAGTGGTTACCTGACCATTGCTGGTTGCATCGAGATGGCAAGGAATGACATTATGAAAGACTTTAGTAAGCTGATTCCATAATTGTAAGTAGCAGGATGGATGGCACCAAAGCCAAAGACAACGGTTACGGTAGCTAGAAGTTTCAGCATCTGTACCTCCCGATAACGAGTGACTCTCTCCACTCACACAGTACAGTGGTTTCCAAAAGAATGTAACTGGCCCAATGGCTCCGTTTGGAAATTCATCATACATATAAACAATGGTGCTCCCTTCCCTGTTACCTTTTAAACAGGATTTTGCACAAATTCCAGGACCTGAAAATTTTATAAGGAATAGTATAATAATACAATCAATAGATAAATGGTTGTACTTTAAAATTATACACAGTGATGGCATCCTATTGGTTCACACAAACCAAGTCTTAAAATTGTAGAAGCTTAGAGAACTGATTGTTGGATTATCCAAAAATAATCTTATATATTTATAGCTGTTGGTCTAGGTAAACATCAGTTACACTACACTTGTATGCCTTGTGAAATTCTAATAGACAAATGCTCTCTACCACTATGAAGTTAAAGATGTGGTCTATCTTCTAGTCATAAATTTGATAGGTCTTCCCCATTGGATCTTTGGGACTGCAGTGATTCAATTTGAATGTGGCTAAGAAACCATAACACAGCTGATAACACTAGAGTTAAAAAGCATCGTACTTCTGAACAGAAATATGAGAACAGAATTTCAATTGGGAAATACCTTAATAAATGTTTACTATTAAATTATCAAAAGGGTTTTTTAAAAATTCTTTTTGGTACCATAAAGCTATTCATTTCCATTCTTAGATTGAAAAGAATAGAAGCTGAATAGGTTTCTAAAGATTACTTGGCTTTTTAGAACCAGTTACTGGAGATTTAGGATGCCATCACTGGTTATATATTATTACTAGTGTATCCATAGCATCAAAAATGATGGCAATTGTTTGAAAGTTCTAACAATGAGATGCAATTAAACAAGTCTTGAAACAATGTATTGAGATTCAATAAAGCAGAGATAAATAATTCACAACTAAAATAAAGGCCAATGAACCGTTTAATTAATCTGTTCCTTTTTTATATTTTAAAAAAATATTTAATGGTATTGATGATTAATTGATGGAATTACTTAGATGTTAACCAATCCCAAACTGACAGGAACCCAACATGAAAGTTAACTTGGAACTCATCATAGGTCCGACATCTAATTGGTTACATGAGGTTGCCTCCCAGCATGTTAGAAATTTAAGTTTTGCCTCTCCCCCACCTGTGAGGGTATTGCTGCTTTTAAACCTCAAAATGATCGTTTATTCTCCAGTCGACCACCATTGCCTGAAGAAGCAGAGTGCTGAAACATGATTGCATTTACGTAGTGGTTTATAACATGTTTTCATTATAATTGTTAATATTATATATATATTATTTTGCTCAATGTTTCATGTTAAAAATCTTATGTGTTTAATATAACAGTGAAATGGAAATATCTCTTTGGAAAAAAAAAAAAAGATTTGTAACACAACAGCAAAGGTTGTGATGACAAAAGCAAGATTATTATTTAATAGATAAAGGTATCTGAGTGCCTTACGTGAAAGGCGTGAATAAATAAGACTGCAATCTAAGAAACGTAGGCGTAAAGGAACTGATTAATTAAACGGTTCATTTTGTTTGAGAGATAATTTTGTCTAAATACACAAATATTTCATTTATATAGATTCTTAAAACGTCTAAGGGAAGTAATCACTTATAAATTTACTAGCTCAAGTTGATTTATCTCCCTTACCACTACAGATGCGATTACTAGCAGTACCTGTAAAAATTCCATGTGTTCCTTTTTGAATTTTCTGAAGAATCATAATTATTAATTTTAATGATTGAATAAGTCCGTTGCAAGTCCCACGGCTATAAACTAAAAATTTCCCATGTCGTATTGTTAAATATACGAGCTTAACAACTTTAATGAAATATTGCATGTCATTATTTAAAGAAGTAAGAAGGTACAAATGAAAAGAGTAAAAACTGGTTTTCTATTTCACTGAAGCAGACATTAAATGCACGAGAACGTTATCACCCGTTCTATATTCCTTTTCTTTCTTTTTCTCTAACTAAAAACAAATAGCATTTCTGATCTATCTTTTTCTCCAGTCTTTCCTTGAAAAAGGCATCATTTCAGTGACCAATGCTGAATGTGCTGAAAAATTCTCGGCCCAACTTCCCAAAATTTGACCAAACATTGAAAGTTTTTGGTAAGGGTTTCAGTTAGTGGATTTCTAACCAAATCAACTGTTAATAGGTTATTTCCTGTTGAAAGTTTTTTTTTTTTTTTAATATTAATCTTGAGCCTACACATAAATGCATTTATGTATGACCCTACTGGTAAACACTGCTGATCCATATGCCAGCAGCAAGGATTTACCCAAGAGATTTCCTGCTTCATGGCAAGAGACACAGTCAGTGCATTCCAGGCCCACCAACTAGGCGTCTTAACAGAATGGGAGATGACAAGCAATTATTTAGTGGAGTGTTACTACATGGTAAACATCCAAAATACAAACCAAAAATGTTTTAAGGATGTTAAAAACAAACCACTTGATACTAATATTGAAGGCTGAGAAATAATGCCAAAAAAATGTGCATGGAGGAAAATTGTGAATGGTCATTGTAAGACCTTCAAGTCTGCATATTATTTAAACAAATTAGCTGTACATAATCAATATTTCCTTTTTATAGCCATCTGTCGCTTATATTATTGCCAACTAAGACTCTTTTTACATTTACTTAGGTAGCTGCGTAATTTACTGTGGTATCATATTTGATTACTTACAAGATCTACTTTTCCAAATCAAATAAGGAAAAATGGTGATTTCATAATAACAATTACAAAATCTACTCTTCTGATTGGCCAAAAAACATCAATAGTCAGAAGAAAAATATTCAACAAATCCCGATTGGTCAGAATTCTTACATAGAATTGATTAAAAGGATGCATTTGCATAAGCACAAATATTGTTTACAATTCTTGCAATCATGCTGAAGCTATGTAGAATGTTATTCAAGAAATGATTGATCTTGGCTGGGTCCACGGGATAGAAAGTCTGTTATGGAGGCCTAAAACTTTCTATGACACCAGAATAGACATCACTGAGGAAGCATTCTGGGATGCAATATCTGCATTTAAAATGAATAAAGATATTATTCTAAAGCAGCTGTACACTGTAAGAAATTATTTCATAAACTGAATGCATTGAACAGTTTTTTTCTTTTAAATGTTCAAATGGAGGGATGTTTTATGTGACATTAAATAGAGTAAAATTATTTCTAATAATTTTAAATAATATATGTCCATATTCCTTGACAAAATAGATTCTGACAAGAATTTCTTAATGCTTTTAATAAAAAAAAAAAACACAAAAAAACAAACAAAAAACAAACAAACAAAAAAAAAAATAAACAAGTTGACATGATAATAGAGAACTCAAAGCAAATAAACACAAAGTCAATTAATAATTGACACATTCACCAAAAGGAGAAGGAACACAAATACATAACAGGAAAATTGGTAGTTAACACAAACCTAAAGGCAGGAATCTGTTTATATCTCTGAGATGAGGTATTATGATTACTTGCCTTATTTACATTATTCAGACAGTTGTTCTCACCTTCATTGCCATATTCACAACATTTCGGCTGTTGTATGCTCCAGCCTTCTTCAGGTGATTGGAATTTCGAACCAAACCATTTATTTCACCCATCAGGGTAGACTGTTCTAGTTCCACATGCCATGCCTCTTCCGGATGTTTCGCTTATTTCCCTTTTAACTCAACACTTAGTTTACCACTGCTGTGACCTGGTATTGAACTCACAACTATTTGAGTCTGAAATAAAGACTTCGGTTTAAAATTCCAATCACTTGAGGAGGGCCGGAGTGTACAATGACTGAAATGTTGTGAATATGGCAATGAAGATGAGGATAACAGTCTAAATAATACAAGTAGGCAGGAATCTGCTAACACAAATAACACACAGGACAGTTTGGTTGGTAACATTTCATCAAAAAGAAACAATTAGCACTCAGAGAATGAACACTTTAAGGGGACTTAACTAATCCAGACGCCAATTCTTGTCACTATCTACGTGACTGCACATGTTTTAATTGAGTGACGTGGGGCAAAAGCTTGGGGATGGAAAATCTGCTGGCAGGCATCCAGATGTAAATAGGTTTCAAACTGGTGTCACATTTTTGCCAGTTTCTTTTTTTTTCTCTTCCCTTTCAGTCAATATGCGCACAATTAAGTGCCTTTTTGCAACTGAGCCTGTAAGTCTTTGCCAAAGAACATTTCATTCACGCACAAACATTTGACTAAATTTACAAACTGATCTAAAATTTCACAAGAGTTTAGCCTTGTGCCCACAAAGAGAAAACCAAGGTAGACAACTCTGCTGCAAAGACAGCAGGCTCCAAAAGACCTATCAATAACAAATGAATATTCCACTGACCAGTTGCTGGATTTGTTAAATGTGAGAAACCACTTTGTATATCAGCCTCCGGTCCAGAAATCTCAATGCAGCACATAAAAGAAATGTCCTGAAAATGAAAGAAATCAAAATTTAAAAACAAAACTGGCTATCAATTTATATACAATTGTCACACTTGTCTTTATTCTTAATCATCCCCAATCTCTTTTTCCCTTACATTCTAATACCTTTCTGTAGAAAAAAAAAGTTAGAATTCAGGCCTATAGTAAAATTGTTTGCAATGCTTACAATTACCCAATTCAACTTTAATTCCTGACCACTGAATTCCTTTTTTTTCCCCCTCACTTTTCATGAATTTTTATAGTAAAATTGTTTACAAGAAATTCCTATAGTAAAATAATAAACAATTTACATTATACATGGTCATGTTCTGTCAGTAATGCCTGGCTTAATAAGTGATCAGCAACAACCCCACCCTGAGTTTGAAATGCACAATTTAAAGTTAAAATAAAACATCTGAAATCAGAATCAAAGACAGGTAGGCAGAGGCCTGGTTTTACACTGAAGTCTAAAAAGGTAAGCAGATGGATTTACAGCCGAGTCTAAAAAGCTAAGAAAAGACCCTGTTTACACTGGAGTCAAAAAAATATGTAGGAAGAGGCCAGGTTTCTACCAAAGTCAAAAACATGCAGCAGAGGACTGGTTTATATCAGTCTTCAAGTATCTGCATGAAAATTGTTTCGTTTTGGGGACAACGTCTTATTCCAACAGGGAAATAAGCAGTAATAAACAAATGTTAAAGGAAACAACATTTCTGTAACGTTTAAGTCATTCCTCCTTAATAAATTTTCAATTCTTTTCAAAGTTTTCAAAACAGATCTCTTAAATGTAAAACAGGTAAAGAAACACTGATGCCAATAAGCATAGAATCTATTTTCACCTTAGAAACATGAAATAATCTTGCTGGTAAATACATACTTTGAAATATTGACTAACTAGCAGGCTTTGCCTGCTTGCTATCGCTTTGCAAAGTAAGATATATTCACTACTTGAACTCTTTGAAACAAAAATTTTAAATGAACATTTCATTCATAAATTGGTTTGTATTTATTCAGATAGCTAAAAATTAGAATTTTAGGCATTTTTAAACAAAACAAATGAAATATGGTGAAACTAAATAACATTTAACAGGTGTTGACAGAAATAAAATACATTTGTAGGAATGAAAAACAACGGTGAAAAAAAATTGAAATCAAAATGAAGTTTAGCTAAGTAGAAAAAAAAAAAAAAAAAAAAAAAAAAAAAGAAGAAGGTACTTTTATAAGTCCTTTAGTCTTTTCTTTGTATAGTTAATTTGCATAGGTGTTCACCAGGTTTGGTTATAGCAATAGACTAGAGAACTTTAAAGGATCATTATAAAAATAAATAGACCTAATATATCTATATTATTCAATGAAACATTTTATACACACACACACATATATATATATATATATATATGCGCGCGCGCTTTTCCACTTCCTCCCCTTTTTCTCTCGATTCCTTTACATTTGATATTATTTAAGTATGTTTCTTCAGAAAGCATAACGGATTTTTAAAATCCGGCACAGATACTACACTTTGATCCTACACAGAGAAGTGTAACAACTATAGATACAAATGGTTAGAAAAACAGGAGGAGAGATTAGATATTGGATGAAAAACAATTACATTTATGCTTCATTAACAGAGACAAGAATTTTTATTGAAAGCCTTTCTTACCTGCATTAAACAATAATTCACAGTTGATTTGTAAGTCACTCGGCTGCATTTCGTATTTGGAGTGGAAGCCAAGTGGTAGCCCCATTTCTTAACCATGTGGAAGCGTTTGGCATGCCAGATGTGTGTCTCGAGCCAAATATTTTTCTTTTTGCGACGATTGTATTCAGCCAACAAGTTGCGTGGACGTCTGCGATGCTTCCTGGATGGAGGTTTGCGTGCACGTTTATCAGGTCGATTCTCATACTTTATATGAAGTAGAGAGGAAAAAAAAAGAAAGAAAAATAATTAAGATTGCAGGAACTTTAGTGTACTTATGTGTACCTATTCCAAATAGGAGTGTGACTAAATTATTTCTTTCACCCCCACATGATGCTTATTTGGTATGGTACACTTACTACTTATCAAATAATGTAATCCTACTAATTAACCCATAGTTGGGAGTAGAAGAGGTGGATTCATATCTTTCTATAAGGGTATTTGCGCATAAGTGAATATAATGAACCCAACTGGAATTGGAACTTGGCTCACCAATTAATAGTTCTGAGCCTTTATCCATTATGCCATCCACACATCCAAGCTTACAGCACCTGGTATTCCCAAACAGACACCCATCTAGGTACTGACTAGGCTTGATGTTGCTTAACTTCAGTGATCATACTGAAACTGGTGTTTCAATGTGATGTGCTGTAAGCCAATTTTGACAGAAGTATTTAGGCATAAAATGATATCTTTTATAAAATATATTATGAATTAGAGAGAGAAAAGACATAAGCCAAGGTGCAATCTTGTACTTTTGTGTCTGAAAAAAAAAAAAAAAACTAGTGTGTCAAAAAGATGCTTTTTCCTTCAACACCAATATAATAATATATAACTGAAATTAGAACTCAGCTCTCTGATTAACAATTTGGAGACATTATCCATTATGCCACCCACACATCCAAGATTACAGCAGCTGGTATCCCAAGTGGTCACCCATCTAGATACTAACCAGACTTGATGTTGCTTATCTTCAGTGATTGTATGGGAACTCGAAACAGGCTATATGGCTGTAAACCTGAATTTTATATGGGAATTAATCACTATCTTAATTTTGTGCAATTACAAAATTTTATGGTCACCATATTTTCCTGACATGACCTGGCACCACCTGCTTATTTTTGTGGTGATGGTGGTAGTGTGTGTGTGTGGGGGGGGTTAACATCTTAATAAATCAGTACAGATAGCAAACAATTCAGAAATTCAAGAACACCTGTGCAGAAATTTCAGAGTTACACAGCCAGAGTTATTAACCTTTGTTATGGAGACAGCATATATATATATATATATATATATATAAAAACAAAAAAAAAAGGTGTGTGTGTTTGATATTTATGTTGTATATTTTTTCAGAATTACTGTACATACTCATGTATAAGCTGACTTTATGTATAGTGTGACCCCGGAATATGTTTGCATGGATTTTAACCACCTCCAGGAGAAAAAAACAAAAAAAAAAAACAAAACAAAACACCTGTGCAAACTGGTTACCGGAAATGGATATTTAACCTCTTCAAGAAAATTACGACCCTCTATCTTTTACTTAAAAAAAAAAAAACAAAAAAAAAAAAAAAGAACTGCTGATAAAATCTCACACTATAAGTGAGTATATACAGTAAATGGAAATGTATATCCAATGTTTGAATTTTCATTCTGTATAAAACTATATTTGAATAATAAAGAAAATGTTGAAATTACTCAATTTTTAAATCTATAGGTGATTTCTAGGAGAACCTGTATAAAGTTTGCAACATAAAACAATGCCTGTTGATTACGTATTTCATAGACAACATCTTTCAGCTTGTTCATAGCTGAAGAAAGAAGAGTATAATTGGCCACATGGACTGGAGTTTGGCTAAAAAGCAGAAAAATGACACAAACAGAAAAAGCTTGAAAACAAACCTGTTTTTTAACCATCTCCCTAAGCCGCCTTGGCCATCGTCTTATGTCATGGCTCATTGCTCTACGGTGCATGTGTTTAGGAAGAGTCTCAAGTACCAATTTGTTAACTGTTTTCATTTGTACATGTTCATTCAATGCACTGATTTCCCGTGCACGCGATTCTGCAAACCTGGCAATCATAAGGTCTGCAGATAAAGAAAAAAAAAAAAAAATTTGTCATTTACATTGGCTTAATTACTGTAAACGTCTTTCTGATTTTCAATACATACATTTCTGCAGCAAAATCATTTACAATTTATATATATATATATATATATATATATATTACACACACACACACACATACATACATACATACATACATACATACATACATTTGTTTTTTTCCTATTTTGCATAATTTGCCTGTCAAATTTGTTGTATTCTTTTTTTTTTTTTTTTTTTTTTGTGCTTATTAACATATAAAAATCTGGCATCATAATCATACAGGCATTAGAAACTGAGAAATGGATAAAAATATTCAAAATTTGTTGGGTGTATGAATAATTCTGTTGTTGACTATATATGCTTCACCAAATTATATATTAACTAGTGGCCATACCCAGCTGGTCAATCAGAAAAAGCATTCAATTAGAATGGAGCAAAAACAGCATCATGTTTAGATGTAACAGATGCTATCTTCTTCAATTACTTTAAAGTACTTTCATTAAAAAACATTTTGAATTCATGCAGTTACTGATATAACAGAAGTACTCTGTATTTATTCAATCAAAGTTAGCCAAGGACATGAAGGGTTAAAACAGTATATGTATAGAGGGGAAATATACGCACACATATATACACGCATGCTGACAGAAATGCACCAAAATGGAAACAGATCCAAGAGCACATAGGGGTCAGTAAAACATTAAAGATAAAATGCCGATAACTAATTTATCATCTCGCTGGACCAACCTTAATTGTTTTATGACCCTTCGCGCAGAACTCTTCATTGCCAATTCAAGAAGGAAATTCAGATTACCAACACACAAACAGAAAATGTCTCATATTGAGAATATTTAACATTGAACATGAAGAAAATTAATTATTTTAATAATATGTGGAAATCTCCACTTTTACCTGAAGACGGTCAGGAGACCAGAAACACATGTCGTAAGATTATGTAAAAACAAAGCAGAATATTTTTTTAAATAAATCCACATTACAACCAAAAACGTTTGCAGCACCTCTCTTCTCTTTTTTTTAATATACATACTTTTCTCTCATTGGAACCACTACAACATATTTCTTTTATATATATATATATATATATATATATATATATATAGATAGAGAGAGAGAGAGACTGTAATAAGGCCTTAATAAAGAGGATTAACTTAGCCAAATGAATTATGCTCCTCTTCTAGAGTAGTGAATTAATGCAAACCTAAAATGAAACTAAAAATCTTTGCTCCTAGTGGAATGATGAGATTTTAAATCAGCATTCAATTCTGAGTGAGACATGTATGAGGACATAACCTTAAATAAAGTTGGCCTTTTTCTAAATTTTATTTTCGGAAACAAGTCTTTTGAATATTCCTTTATCTATTGTAACTTAAATAAGATATTGGTATACTTTTAAGAGAGGATAGATATGTTTTAATAATAGAAAAGGCAAAAAAAAAAAAAAAAATCCAAAACTATGTAAAAGATTGATTGATCTATTATTCACAGCTTTTCAACCCTAAATTTAAAGCCAAAAAATATTTTTGGAGATTATTATGATTTTGCGATACAAGTTTTACTAATTAACCCATAGCTGGGGGAGGGGAAGAGATGATTCATACCTTTCCCAACGGTATTTGCATGTAAGTGAATATAACAAAACCAATTGAAATTGGAACTCTGCTCTCCGATTAACAATTCCAAGCCATTATCCACTACACCATCCGCACATCCAAGCTTACAGCACCTGGTATTCCCAAGTGATCACCAGGTTCTGACCAGCTCAATGTTGCTTAACTTCAGTGATTGTATAGGAACTGGAAACTATGAAAAAGAATGAAGCAGAAAAAAAAAAAAAAATATACAAACTTTTGGGAACAGTGGCGTTATCCATCATCTCCAAGCCAGTTTCCTGGTACTTTCGTTTCTCTCCTTTGTTCATGATTGGATTTTTCACTGGCCTCAGATTTCTTGATTCTGAAAAGTGTTACAATATTATTTTATCTTTGGTTTTACTTTTACATTATGAAAAACAAACATTTAACTATATTGCCTATAAACTTTGTTTTATAAAAGATAAGAAAAGCAATGTCTCATTCATAATAAATAAGGTCTATTTACACAATGCGTAATAAGTTACACAGACTAAATTAGGAGCATAATAGTATGTTGTCTACAGCACTATTTAACACTATAACATAACTAGCAGATTGTTCTCTCGGAAAAATGCAACTGTTGTTTCTTCAGTCAAGATGATACGTCTAAAAATCTTTTAGCAACATTTTAATCTGAAGGAGGGTATCCAGCTGATATTAATGGTTTCAGACCTAGAGGAATTATGATGTGGGAGTTCTATTTCCTTTTTTTATGTGGACAGGACACATGAGAGGTGAGGTGATGGTAGAATTCATCGTGTTAGACTGCAGGTGGAGAGCACAAAAGGTGAGCTCCCGGTATAATTCATAGCATGGTAGACTGCATACTATAGTACCAGTATCTAAATCTTTCAAAAATAAAATATACTTTTCTGAAATTTTATTTAAGGAAGATTAGTGAATTTAAAGTAATCTGATTTGAAACAAATGTGCCGTGTCCCTTCAGCATGTGGGTGATCATGACCCTCCACAATTTCTTTTATTTCTATCCTTCCCAATTCCTGATGTGATATCCATTTACACAAGCTTGTTAGTTAGGTTTCCCTGCTGCTCTTGCCTATATCCTGAGAGTGTTAAATTTTCCAAACCTTTTTTCTTCATTATGTATTCCAGAAATTTCAACTGTTTCTTTTTGATTCTAAGTATAAATGCCATTTTGGCTCCCATTTTCTTTAAAATGTCCTTGTTGCTCACATGTTCCATGTTATTCGTCGCATTCTTCTGTTGAACCAGATCTATTGCTTCAAGTCTCCTTTTCATCTGTGAGGAAATTATTCAGCATTCATTGCCATATATACTTTTGTGTTGTTTGATTTTCATTGGTTAATCAGGTTTCATGTGCATTCAACTTGTTGAACAAAATGTTAGTATAATTTGTGGAGATTCAAATCAATGAAAAAAAAAATAAAAATAAAAGACAAGAATTTCTTTCTTCTTTGTATCCAAGTTTCATTCTATGAAGAAGCTATAATAAAAGTGAAGATGTAGATTGATAAATGCTGCTCTTTATCTTATCGTTCTTTTGGAGTGTGACTGATATTTAATCCCAACTGATAACATTTATTGTATTGAGAAACAATACAACATACAAAGATTTTACCATTTGCGAAAGTTTTTTTTTTTTTCGTGTTAGAGAACAATGAAAGTGCTGCTTTTGAAAAGGTCTGGCAGGTAGTGTCAGAAATGGTATAGACAAATACTTATTGTCTGCCCACACCCGGGAGGCGAAAAGAGACCAGGAGCTTTATCTCTACCACTAGGGTAGGAGATAGGCCGCAATAGGACAAATCTGTAAATCATATACAGGTAAGGTTCAAAAAAGTTAAAGTTATGTCCTCTGCATGATACACACTTAGGTGATCATGTATCTTTTGATAGATGACTGATGAGGCAGATTTTTTCACGCAGTAGGTTGCCATTTCTTTCTGTGGTAGACCAATTTCCAGCCAAGGCTATAGAACCAGGTCTGTCCTGCTATTTACCCATATCTGGGGGGAGAAGAAGAGGAGTCATATCTTTCCCAAGGGTATTAGCACGTAAGTGAATGTAATGGATTTGACTGGAATTCAAACTTGGCTCTCCGATTCTTCAATCTGAGCCACTATCCGTTACGCCACTTGTTACTCTGCCATGCCTCCAACAGAACCTTAAACCCTACTACTACGTGTGTGTGTGTGTGTGCTCAGTCATTACATTAGGTGTGAAACAATTGAAGCATCCTACTCTATGTCATGCATATTATATCACCAAGACTCTCAAGTGAATATCTTGCAGAAAAGTTGACCGATATTGACTATGCAGATGACCTAAGTATCACTGCAGACATCATTACCAATGCCACAGTACTCCTACATCATCTAGAAAATGCTGCCAATGATCTTGGACTCGTGTTTACACCTTTAAAACTGAATTCATAGGCTTCAACCAGCAAGGCTCCATACAAACTGTTTCAGTTGAATCAATAAAATCTGTTGAATCTTTTACATAAGCAAGATAAATTCTACTGAAAAGGATGTGAAAATTTGCATAGTTAAAGCCTGGGTCGCCTTGAATAAAATGGATGTAATCTGGAAATCTGATCTACCAGACAACCTCAAACAGAGATTCTTTTGAGTCACTGTAGTGGTTGTTTTAATGTATGGTGCCACTACTTGGACATTAACTAAAACTCTATAGTCTAAGTTTGATGGAACCTATACTCAGATGCTGAGAGATATACTTAACATCTCTAGGAGGCAACATCCAACTAAGTCACAGCTCTATGGACCCATTCTTGATATTTCTACAATCTTATGTGAATGAAGAATGCATACTGTAGGACAGTGCTGGCAAGCAAAACAAGAACTTGAGAGAGATCTACTGTCCTGGACACAGGAACATGGAGCAAGACAAATTGGTCGTCCAGCAACCACCTCCACTGACGAGCTATGGTATGACACAGAATGCCACCCTAAGGACCTTGATGCAGGACCATGATGATTGGCACGATAGACTCATGAATGTTTGAGCGAACTTGATCAAATAATAAAAGGTATGGCATGTGGTATCAGAAGTGGGATAGATGAGTCCTTGTCTCTCCATGCCCTGAGGGTGAAAAGAGACCAGGTGCTTCGTATCTCCCACTAGGACAGCAGGAAGATGGGCCACAATTGGACCAATCTGGAACTTTTATATGTGTAGGGTTCAACAGAGCCTTAAACCCTACTGCTGCTATGTATGTTTCGACTAGAGTGTGAGTTAACTTATTATACTATGAGTGAAGCATTATACTGTATTAGGCTAAGCATAATATCACTATCAAAACTATAGAGCAAGACTTAATAAATTATTCTTACAAATGATTACTATTGGAAAGAATTCAGTTTTAAGTATTCTACACTTGTCACCATATCCCAGATTAGACTATGTTTCATTAATATACAAGGTGTTTTACTGTGAAATAATGAGCTAATCTAACAAACTCTACACTTCAGTCATCATTGGGTGTCCTACTTCAGTAGCATTATGTTAAATTAAACTGAGTAAGTGATTTACTACTGTAGTGAATCCAATTCTCAGTGAGTTCCCTAAACTTGTGGCCTTATGCCAAACTAAATTGAGCTATATAAATATTTTGACTAGCTTTGGCATATTTAACCCAAAGATGGAAGTTGGGTGAAGGTAAGAAAAAGTATTTTATATATATATATATATATATATATATATATATAAGGAATAAAGGAAAGGGTACTTTTAACAGTGGCTGCTCCTACTATTAATGCATCACTCTTCAGTTATAAATTGAGTGCTCTTGGCTACTGATTTGGTGTCTCTATATATATATATATATATATATATATATATATATATATATATATATATATATCACATATATAATACATTAAAAGATTCCCTTTTCTGCTGTGTGCTGATAGTTTAGAGGTAGAGTCTGACTGATGCCAAATTGGTTGAGTTTCAAACACAGCTGTAAACAATCAGATGTCTAGCCACACACACACATATATATATATATATATATATATATATGAGAGAGAGAGAGAAAAAAGGAGAAGGAAGAGAAAAAAAGAAAAGATACAGAGATAAGCTTGACATGTTAACTAATCTATATTTGTATGACATTTAGATAAAAACAACGATGGACAATGAAGATTGGAAGGGATAAGGAAGAGAATGAGAAGATACAGATAATGGGTGAAAGATGTGGCAGTAGAGACTTCAGGGGTTATTGGCCCTCATTCGATGGCGTTTCTTCGGAGGATTGGCGTGATTGCGTCTCGATTAAGGGACGAGCCTTGCGAAACGGAATGGCTCTTGCAGTGTGTCTCACTGGCGATGGTTCGAGGTAATGCTTTCTCCATCATTGTGGCTGGCAGAGGTTAGAAAAAATTGTTTATTGTTACGTTGTTCTGGAAGTGCCATCAGTGGTCAACTGTACTTGTTTTGTTTCAATAAATGTAATATTTATTTAAAAATTAGTTGTAGACTTAAGGTTTTCAGAAATAGGGTCTGAATTGGACAGACATAAAAAAAATAAATCATTTAAAAACTAAAAAGAAAAAAAAAATTTTAATCAAGCTGGCAAACATGATTTGTAAACGATTTTTTAAAATTTTTGTCACTGTGAGGAAAACATTTGAGAATTGAGCTTGCCGTTTTGTCTTGTTTAAAAATAAAATACAAGTAAAAATATTCTTTTTGCAAACTAGGTCTGTATTTGTAACACAGACTATGATCCTAAGAAACAGAGGGTCGGGTGAAAAAACAGCTGAAAAGTGTCGAGTCCTAAGGCTGTCATTTAAAATAATAATGACTAAAAACGATCATCATTTTAATATTTTTTTGTTATAGTCATTATTAAATAATGACTATGACGAGAATAGTAAAAAAAAAAAAAAAGATACTAATGGATAATGACTATGACAAGAATATTATGATAGTTATAATGAGGAGAATATTAAAAATTAAAATAACTTTATGAGTGACTATGACGAAATGACTATTTTTAAGGGTAAAAACAGCGAAGACCAATATTTAAAATTTAGTTTAAAAGGAACTAAAATAAGAATTAGTGACTTTTTTAAAAATCACTACAAAAATCTATTAATTTTAAGAACAAAATTTGAATTTATTAACTCGACGGAAAAAGACATTTTATTTTAGTTTAGTCACGGAGCAAATATAATTAACTTTAAAATTAAATTAATTTTTAAAAAATTTTACATGCTACATTCATACAAGTCGCAAACTTTCTTAAAAACCGTATTGTTTTATTCATAATTTATAAACA